TCAGACGTGTGCTCTTCCGATCTCCCCAAAACCCCAAAACCCCAAAACCCCTTTAGGACAATTCAAATTAATATTGAGATAGAGACCAAGTGAAATAATAAAATGGGATCTTTGTAATATATGTGATTGTATAAAGATTGACTTAAATTTAGATGATTACTCAGTTGTTAAGAACTGGGATTAAGGCTGATGTAGCTGCTGACCATTGTTCGTTGATTTTCTTAACATGCTCGTTTTCAGAAACCTTATTGTACCAAGCAGTGATGGCTGGATAAGTTTCCCAAGTCTCCTTTAAAAGAATCAAGTTGGTTAGCTCGAAATAGATCTAGAAATCTCCAATAGAAATTTGATTTGATGCAAGGAAGTCACCTTCATATTGATGAAGTAATCTCTCTAAGGTATCAAGAGCAGTCTTTTTGTTTTGCTCTTAGAAGTCAAGAACATCCTAGGGAATATCCATCTTTGCAAACTTCTAGCCGATTCTTGTTCTTAATGGACTTAAGAGTGCTGGTCTGAAGTGGAACTGATAGTACTCAAGGAATTAATCTACTCTATATCTCTCTTTAAGCTCTTTGGGCCAGTAGTGCTCTGGAACTGATGCTTGAGAGTCAGCGATGTATTTAAGAATAGCATTAGATTCACCAAGACCAAAATCACCATCCTTGATGAATGGGACCAATTAACGTGGATTGATTTTTGCATATTCTTCTCCTTTTTGTTCTTAAGCCAGAATATTTATGTTAACTATTCAGATTTAAAAGTCTAAGTATTTTACCTTCCTTGTGTGGAACATCTCCAGCAAGTAATAGAGCTTTAACAGATCTAGATGGTTGACTAACAAGACTCCAGTAAAGAGTGATGCCTTCTCCTGCAGGTTCCATTTAAAGATATTAAAGTTAAGTAAATAAATTACAAAATTTAGATATGCCTTATTTATATCTTAATCATTCTATTGAAAATTTCTTCAATTTACAATAATATCTTGGACTTGGGGTTTTGGGGTTTTGGGGTTTTGGGGTTTTGGGG